GGGACGCGGAGCCCGGCGCCGAGCCCTGCGCGCGCGTCTGCAGGGTGGACCTGGACGAGCGCGAGTCCTACTGCGCGAGCGAATTCGGTGAGCTCCGCCCCGCAGCTCCTCCCGGGCCCGGGCTGCAGAGCCCAGGCCGCGAGGCGAGCCTTTCCGAGCCCAGAGCGCCGGGCTGTGCTCGCGGACTCCCCTAGGGCAGACCCTGGAGAAACCCACTCACTTGATCCTGCAGTCCCCAGGCCCATGTGGACTATTTCGTGATGTGTGCAAAACTCACTGGGGAAAGAGAGGAAATGAGCGTTATGCATTTCTCCAAACTCTTTGTTTTTTGAAAGCAGCAGTGAACGGAATCGTGCATGACGTGGACGTGCTCGGCACAGGGATCCGGCTGGTGACTCTGCTGGTGGACCGGGATGGGCTGTACAAGATGAACCGCCTGTACATCACTCCGGACGGGTTTTTCTTCCGAGTCCACATATTAGCCCTAGACTCCTCCAGCTGCAATAAGCCATGTCCAGAATTTAAACCTGGTATTGAAACTGATCTCACCACTTTATATACGGACTTTATGCCACCACTTGTAACTTGGATGCCATAGCCCAGTCTGTTACCCCAGTACCGTTTTTTTGGGGGGGAGGAGTAGTCTAAAATGAATAGAATTTAGACGACGGGTATTATTTCTCCCACTCCGATTTACGCTCCATCAGCCTCCCGGTGCCTCTGGTTAAAGGTGGGAACAGCATGCATTGACACAAAGCGGGCCCTCAGATATTTGTTGGTAAGTGGAGTGAGCGACGAAACAAGGTTGCTAGAGGGACACAGAAGAGGCTTTTAGAAAAAGTTTAGCATGGCCTTTTTTTGGAGGGGGGTAAATACCCGCTCCCACATCTTTCTAGAGGTGTGCTCTGGAAAATCCTCCTGATATATTGTGAGTAGGGCCTTTGTTCTGTGATGTTGGCTGGTTACAGGTTGATAATCTGGTTATCTTCACAAGGTCACTAGACTGTTTCCACCTGTTGTTTGACGGTGCAATGTCTGAGATTTAACATGTGCAGCAAGATAATAGATTCAAGCTTAGGCATTCCTTGCCGGCCTCGCATTTTCTTACTGTTTCTTGGCATTTAAAAGACACTACGAATTTACATTTTGGTTACTTTTTTTCAGGCAGCAGGTATATTGTGATGGGCCACATCTACCATAAGAGACGGCAGCTCCCTACAGCTCTGCTCCAGGTCCTGCGGGGACGGCTCCGACCAGGAGATGGACTGCTCAGGAGCCCCAGTAGCTATGTGAAGAGATTTAACCGAAAAAGGGATGGGCAAGTTCAAAGTGCAATTCACACCCAGTGCGTTTGAAATATACTACCCTTGCACTGCTGGATTGTAAGAGACTTGTTGCATTCAGCAAGGAGAAAGGACAGGTCTGTCTTCACGAAATGGGGTCTTCCTGTGGAGTAGGGCACACAGCTCCTTCTGGAACTGACTGTGTAGTTCCAACTCTAATGTCGAAGTTGCCACTTTCTTATTTGCAAAATGCCTCTTCAGTGGTATGCTTCTGAGCTCCCTGGCAAAGTTATTCACACAGCTCAGATAATTGACCTGTCCAGTTAGCAGATCAATGCTTCATGGGGTTTATTTTTAATTATTTTAATTTAAATACATTCTTCAGTAGAAATAGTTCACACACACACACACACACACACACACACAAAATTTCCTTGATTTTAAATATACAACTCTGAATAGGTTATATCACATATCAAACCAAGTTTCATACTAAAACCATCACATTTTAAATTCTGTACAGAACAGTACACTAGTCAAGACATTGTATGAAATGTCATTTAGATCAAACACTAGGGTCAGAACTCAAGACAAGTATTACAGTTTTACACTTAAAAGAGTACTAACGGGCTTAATTCGAGCAAAATATTATTCGAACAAGTGTTCCTGATGTACCAAAATGTAAGAAATAGTATATTTTTCGCCTCCCTGCTCCTAAAAACATACGTTTTGTGCCAAACTGGCAACTATCTCATTGCTAAACATACTCTGGGTGTATCTGATGTCATTTTTCTATTAAGACCAAGTATCGTGTTTGTGTTCGTAAAGTAGTAAATCTTGCCTTGAAATCAGATCTTGGATGCACCTGGTTTTTTAGCCTCACGGAGCCCTAAAGGTTTGGGAAAAAACCTTTCTCAAACTTACTCCAAAAACCCTGGAACCAATATTCAATGACAGCTTGCAAGTATGTGAATTTTAAACACGTTTTCAGTTGCTTTGGAAAAGGTTTAATCATTAGCTGAATTTAATATTGATTTTATACTTGAATCCACAAAGACATTAACAGTTTTTTAGAAGACCAGGCTGTGTATCAGTTAATTTGAAACACGTGAATAGAGACACAGATCATCCACAGTTGAAGATTACTGCCTAAGGAAAGATGAACAGGAACTGTACCACAGAGGAAAAAAACCAGCCTATTCTGGTCTCAGAGGAGAGGCACTCAGGGAGCTCAAGATGTGTCTTTAGGTAGTCTTCAACGGCCATACAGAACAGGAGCACAATACACCTAGAGGATGTTTAGGACAGGACAGTCGAGCATCCACAAGAAGCTAGTAGCAGTAACATTAAGACGTAACATCTGATTGTGATGGGCGATACTCTTACCTTATTTGTCCCAGACAGGGGGCAAAGAGATAAAATAACATTTGAGAGCTTCTGACTGTTCTGTGGTAAAGCATTACTGAGGGATTTTTAGAGAATTTTCCAAAAACGAGTCTTGCCCAAACTTACTAAAAATCATGCTAGAATTGCTTCTTGGGAATGAATCAACTGCATTAATTATAACGCAAACTATTGGCAGGAGAGTAAGCAGAGATTGAAGAGCTTCTGGCTTTTTTTTTTTTTTAGGATAAACATTAACTGAGATATAAATAGCACCAGTCACAAAAACCAAAGCTGAATTTTTAAATGTGAAAAGACTAAGTGGTGATCTTGAATAACACGGTGAAGAAAACTGCAAAATGGCCAGATAAACTATTGGTTGGTCGCCAGTTAGAGCGTGAAGGGAAGAGTTAAATCGCTTTTCCGTAAGCCTGAGGGTGAGGGTTTGATGAGACCACTTTGACGATACTCCGTTTCTGAGGAGCTGCGGAATCACAGGGACAGAATCCTGTGATGGGCCAGATAGCTGGAGGTTGTACGGTGAGTGTGTACACACGGGCAGACACAAGCAGGCCAGCTTTTTAGAAGCTGCCCCATCAGAGTTACGGCCATCATTCAAGACCAGGTGGAAAGGAGAGACAGGTGAGGCTCAAAAGAGGCAGAACAGGGGTGCGCGAGGGGTGTGTGCACAGGAGGTGCCCGGGTTAGGCAAAAAAGGTTAAGAAGAATCTCATTTTCAATATTCAGTCAGTACCTTGGATACAATCTTTTAATTTTATGGAAAATTTTAAGTAGCCAATTCATTGTAGTTCCTAATCCTTTTGTCCTACTGAAAGATTTTTCTTAGCACATGGATTTGTGCTGGTGTAATAGTCCCTCATCAGTAAAATACTGCACTGCCTTCAAGAGGAACTCAGCAGCATCCCTCCTTTGAATTAAGCTGCTAGAACTCAAGAAAAAAAAGTACTCGTCTTGCTTTTAGGTCTATACAAAATATATACCTTTATTTGGTACTAACTTTTAAGTTTTTAAAGATATCACTTGACACTGTTTATATTTCCCTTCAATCATTTTTTAAAAGATTTTATTTATTTGACAGAGAGACAGCGAGAGAGGGAACACAAGCAGGGGGAGTGGTAGAGGGAGAAGCAGGCTTCCCGTGGAGCAGGGAGCCCAATATGGAGCTCGATCCCAGGACCCTGGGATCATGACCTGGGCCGAAGGCAGACGCTTAACCAGCTGAGCCACCCAGACCATCATCCCTTCAATCATTTTTAAGGTTGATCAAAAATACACGTATATGTAAACACCTAAAAACTGACCGAGCAACTGCCACCCAATTTCAGGTCCAGAATTTTATCATTTAAGGCTTCCCTTTAGTTGAATTTGGTCTAAATTGGATCAAATGGGGGTGTGATCTTATAAGAAATGTCTTTTTTGGTAGCTTACGCAAAGTATCCAGAAGTAACCTCAGAATATTTCAGATTATTAAAAATACTTCTGGGGCACCTGGGTGGCTCAGTCGTTAGGTGTCTGCCTTCGGCTCAGGTCATGATCCCAGGGTTCTGGGATCGAGCCCCACATCGGGCTCCCTGCTCAGCGGGAAGCCTGCTTCTCCCTCTGTCCTTCCCCCTGCTTATTCTCTCTCAAATAAATGAATAAAAATCTTGAAAAAAAATAAAAAAATAAAAATACTTCTCAGCTGGCTCTTTCCCCCCAAGCACTCACAAGACACTGCTCTGTCCATGAGATAGCACCATTCTCCACTTTCGGGATGAGAAACTGGAGGCTTCCAAAGGAACAGCCTCAAATCACAAAGAGTGGGAGCTAGGATAACTGTGCAGCTCTGTCTAGTTCAGCCCGTCTGTCCGTGCACGTTTTAAAAAGGTCACCACCAGGCTGGCTCTCTAATCTCAGAAGCGCACAACAGATGAATACAAATAGGGAAAGAACCTCAATTTACAGATTCTGGGAAGGTAGATTATAAAAAACAGCAAATCTCAGGGTCTCTAACACTCCAGGCCATTTGAAATATAAAGAGACAATTGCTTTACTTTGGAAAAGATCTCTGAAAGTTGACAATTTTTTTTTTTTTAACCTACTGCAGGACATTAACTAAAATACAAATCCTGCAGACTCTGGATGGGAGAAAAAAGCCTTACCGATATTATGAAAACACTTCTTATGAAAGGTTTTCAAGGATTGTGAACTTCGCAGATGAAACGTAACAAGCACCGATAATACTTTGTCAAGGAAATCTGATGCGAAGTACATGTATCTACAAGTCTAAAGACTGGATAGAAAAATCCTAACCGCATATCACAAATGTGCATTCTACTACTTGGATTACTCAGAGCAAAATAGCTGTGATATGTGTATCTTATTGACTAGCAGGAGCTTGTCAAAGAATACTCATAGAAAAGCAGCCTTTGAAACTCATTATGTGTTATAAGAATGTTTTTCAAAAATTACTTTTGAAATAAGACTAAAGCTCTGTAGTTGATAAAACTATAAAATGTCTATACGGTGACAGAAATTGCAAAAGGCTTTATACTATTAAATACACATAGGAAATTAATTTCTTCCTGGGCTGAGGATTCCCATAAAATTTACCTTTTTTGGTACAATTTGGCAACGCCAATGGCTACAGAAAATATATCAACCAACCAAACCACTGTTTCATTAGAAACTGCACCAAATCCAATGTCAAAAACATTACTTTATTTTTCTAGGATGAAATGTCCTATTACGTACAAAAAGAATTGCTGTTTAGAATTTGCCACAATCTGTTAAAAACATAGCAATCTATTGCCTACAGGTAGGAAAGTTCTTGCCGCAACAAGTTTTAAATGATTAAGCCCATATATATCTATATCTCTCTCTCTATATATGAATAAATAGTACAGAAATACTGTGACATGACGAGATGCAGAATGATTTTATAATTCATTAAAATGTAGGATTCTTGCATCAGCACAGTGCATACAATAGGTAACATTTTTTTAAAAGTAAAAGGACAAAATAACCTGTATTTGACTATTTCCATGTTAGTATTTTAAGCAAAATTTGTTCCCATGTTTTCATATTGAGCAATTAGTCTCTTTAAGTTTGTAAGCATAGGTTTGTAAGTGACATTTTTAGGTACAGAAAGGAATGGACTTCATGAGATAAAACTAACCCAGAATAACCTGCACACCTGAGTCTGTGATGAGGAGGAACTGGGAACTGGAGCAACATCTTTCTTTTAAGAAACTAAGGTCCAGGAAAGGTTTTGCATAGCAGGGTGATATTAAACAGAAGGAAACTTTTTAAAAACATGATTTGACAAATTCCAGAAACTGGCAGGACAAAGCTAACATGAATTAGTGCAAAATCTAGTAAAATTTTTGCAAAGCTGCATAAACCAACTATGGCAGATCTTACAGAAGCTATTATTACAATGCGGTAGGTAATACAACGTGTAAGGTTAGAACACCGAAAGGAAAAACATGCAAAATACACCTTCTTCTGCTGTTTCCATTTTGCCCCTACTGCTTACACTACTTTTTCTTATGTGGGAAAAACCCCCAAACAACTCAACCAACAAAAAATACAAAATGGATGAAGTAACTTAAAAAATGCCCTTCATAAAATATAAGCAGCTGTCTGTAACTGATAATTTGCCTGGTATTATATAATGTACAGATGAAGGCAATGTGTATTTTGCCACATTACCCCTTAGTACGATCAACTGATGCAACAGGATTAGCAGCCCTGAAGGTTCTTCTTTGATGTGATGACAGTGGGCTGGGCATTACAAAATGAAGGGCCACTACTGTCCTCGGGAAACCCAGGTACAATTAAATTCTTCAGCCTGTTATTTACCTTGCAGCCCTCCCTTTCCCCTCAAAGGCTTACAGATAATCATTAGCGCACATTCAAAGACACCATCTGTGGGAGAAAAATGATCTCCATTTATTTTGTTTCATATACATCCATAGTTGAATTTTAATACAAAAAGAAAAAAATTAGAATCTGACAAATGTTTACAAACAAGATACCTTCAAATAGATTTTACTCAGTTTAGCCTGGTGCAGAGTAAATGACAAACTGTACTGTTATATTCAAGGCAACAGAGTCTGTAGTCCAGGACTACTTAGCCCAACCTTTATGCAAGCTTAATTTTTATCTACCATGAACAATAAACTCATTGTTGATTCCCAGTTGTGTGTGTATGTGTGTGTGCACATGTGTACATAGCAGCTCCTTTCATAGAAAGAAAAGACATCTAGAGGTCGTCTTGTACTTTTACCTACAGGAATCATGATAAGATACAGAATGGATTACATGTAACCGGGGCTGGATTTTATAAGAAAAAATAATTAGCTGACAAATGAGGGCAGCAATAAAAAAGCGTCTTTTTTGCAACAATAAATAAATACAGTCAAAAGTTTTCTGTGAGACTCTAAACCAGCTTCTTCACTGAAGAGCAGACGTGGCATTTCCATGGAGTTACACTTGACCCCATATTATCTTTTTTTTCTTGCTTTCTTTTTTCTTTTTTTTTCAATAAACAAAGTTTTCCCGCTTCTGCCACAATAGTAAAACCATTTGATCTTGACAAGATAATGGTGTCGTTGACTTTGCTTTTCCCTTGTCCGTTGGACAAAATTGGCCAAGAATATAATTGGACTGTTATGACCAATAAAAACGAAGTTTAGGTCAAGTCTTGTCAGGATAACCTGACTAAAAACATCTGGCTCCTTAATTTAAAATAGTTCAGACAACCAGATTCTTGCTGTGTTTTATGTTAGGTTAACACGCTGAACTTTAAGAAGCTGTAGACTGCAGTTTGTTGTTATGAGACCTACAGAATACAGAAAAAAGGGAACAATTAAGCACCCTTCATTTTTTAAAACAATGATGCTTTATGTGGATGCCAAGGTCGGTTTGTCTGGGGGAAGCAGCCATGTTCTTTCATTCACCCTTGGCAAGCAAATATATGAGAACGAGTAAGAAATTTTTAACCTAAAATAGAAATTTTCACTGTACACTGAAACATGATAGTTCACCGAAAAGGCCATTATTAAAATATATATATGTATATATATATATATATTCATCTAATAAAGATTATACATTTTTAGCCAGAGGGACAGATAGAAACATTTACAGAAGCATTACCATTGTGGTAAAGATGTGTGTGTGTGCGTGTGTGTGCACGCTTATTTACATTGATTTGGGGGAATATGAAGAAAAAATTATATTAAAAAAAGAGAAATAGCAGTATTAAAAATCACATTTTTCTATTAAAGCCCAGAAAGTCTCCTTTCTAGTTTCACAGTTTTATTCACAACTTCCGTTAGTAAAACCAAATTACTGTACAGTTACCAGGACTAAGTCAAAGTATGGTCTATTGCAATAGTGTATATAAATACAGTATTCCAGGAGTTTACAATTCTTAAATACATTGTTCAACATGGCTGCTAGAATAAACTGTTTACTACTATACATATATTTTTAACATTAAAAAATTATATTAACTAATATGAACTTTTGGGGGCAATTTTGAATTAGGTAATCACGTGGTACAATAAAAGAAAGAGTGACCCCAACATCCAGTTCTGATTCCAGTTAAAAATTCAGACTAAAGATATCAGAATCTGTAAGAAAAGAAAGAACATGGATGGTATAAATGATGAATTATAACAAAGTACAGTAATGAAAATAATGTGCAAACAATGCTGGAGATTATAAATTAAAAATGGGGAAAATATGGCAAAGGAAATACTGGAAACCCATAAATCAATCAAATTTCAATGAATGGCTACATATATGTCTCATTCTGCCTTAACCCTGGAAATCAACAAAAATTCCCTAAAATCTCAGTTCATTTCATTTCATAGAACTGAGCAAACTTCTCAATTTGCTATGTTTCTTAATGAAAATGATGTAAAACTCAAAATAAAATAAAAAGCTACAAGAAATAACTAGGTGGCAGGCTCTCCTAAGCAGCCCCTCTACTGTGCAGACCCAGCCCCTGGGCCTCCTCCTCTCCTTTCGCCAATTCCTTTGTTTTGTCACAGGCCCACAGACGCTCTCCTCTCCATCGCTCTCCTCTCCATCGGCAGCTGCTACCACCCCCACTCTGGGTTCGGCCTGCAAGCCTGGCAGCAGGGTGGGATTCAAATCCCCCAGCTTCCACCTCACAGTTACCACCAAAGGCTAAAGCCTTTCCAATTTAAAAAAAGCAATTTTAGAAATTTAATTGGAGGAAGAACTGCATGAGGTGCAAATGAAGCAGGGAGAGACTTAAAATGAGTTGTGGTCCTCTATCCTAATCTTTACCCCACCTGAAGTCCAGGCTCCCTAGGACAATTTACTTTGAACTTCAGTTCTTGGGTAGGTAGACTTCTTATACTGATACTTCTCGCTGTATCAGCTTTGTATCGCTTCAGTCCTGTTCGGGCAAATGAGAACTAAGCAGCTCACATAACCATTTTCCTGCCTCCCTTCTTGAATCCAAGTTTTACTTCTAATTTTAAATTAAATCTTTCTGTGCTTTGTCTATAGGCTGATGCTAAAAGTTGAAAATCAATGTATTGTTTACATTATTAGGACTACGTAAATATTTTTCTCCTTGTCGCACCTACTCCTCGGCTAAGAGGGCATTCTTAACATTCCTATTCAACTTTGGTTTTCATGGAATCTTGTTGAACTGCCTTTCATTTTTCTCTCTTACATTCTTACGCTAATTATCTAATGTATGAATCATTTCTCCTCCCAGACACCTTCCTCTTAGGAGTGTTCCATTCTCCTGCTCCAGTTTGGACTGCTTGCTGGGTTGGCTTGCTGTACAAATGTCATCCTGGGTCAGAGGAATCCATATTGTTTTCTTGAGCCTCTTGTTTCTGGATCCAAGATGTTTGGTTTCCTTGATTTACTTCTTTAATTTGCTAGTGCCCATCTTAAAATAACTTGCTAAGAAAGGCAACATGGGAAGAAGTCCCTTTCTGAGTCCTTCCATGACTGAAGATGTATTTTTCTCCCCCTGCACTTGACTGTTTGGCTGGACACAGAATTGTAGGCTGAAAATCATTTTTCTTCAGACTTTTAGATTTATTCCTTCAAAGTCTTCTAGCATTCCATGTTGTTAGAGAAAAGTCTGATACCAGTCTAATTCTTGTTACTTTACAGGTTGTTTCACCTTCTTTAGAAACTCTGAGAAGAGCTTCTTTTATCCTTGGTATCTGGGTATTTTACAGTGATTATATGCAGGACGGACTTTTTTCCCTTTGTCAAGCTGACTTACTATGTTTATCAACTATCCTCATCATTCCATACCCCACTCTTTCTCCTTACTCCACAAGAATGTAAGCTCCAAAGGGACTCAATATCTGACACACAGCAGGGTCTCAGTAACCATTTGCTGAATAAATGAATTTTGTTTTCCTTGGGTTTGAAGTCTTGTGCCTCTTCTCATCAGCTCAGGGAATTTTTTTCCTATGAGTCTTTTGATAATTTCTCTATTCTTCCTTTCTGGAATTTCCATTAAGTGAACACTGGATATGCTATCGTGCATTTTTTCCTTTCGTATTTTTTCATCTACTTGTCTTTTTGTTCTTCACATTGTGAAAATCCTTGATTTTAACTTTCACTGCTTCTAGTAAGTTTAGGTTTTTTAGATTACTTTTCTAGCCACTCTTTCTGATTGTTCTTTATTCCTAAGATCTTTTTATTTATTTTTAAAAGATTGTATTTATTTATTTGACAGCGAGAGAGACAGCAAGAGAGGGAACACAAGCAGGGGGAATGGAAGAGGGAGAAGCAGGCTTCCCGTTGAGCAGGGAGCCCGATGTGGGGCTCGATCCCAGGACCCTGGGCTCATGGAAGGCAGACGCTTAACGACTGAGCCACCCAGGCGCCCCTATTCCTAATATCTTGTTAGTCATTTTGTAGATTCAAGATCTTCCTTTTTTAAGTAAACTCTACCCCCAACGTGGGGTTCGACCCCAAGATCAAGAATTGCAAGCTCTACCAACCGAGCCAGCCAGGCGCCCCTAGATTCAATTATCTTCTAAAATCTCTCTTAGGACATGATTTAGAGGCTTGCTTTTTTTTTTTTTTTTTTTCAAGTTCTCTTTTGTTTTCCCTGGAATCTGTTCTTCTGCTATACCTTGACCTTTCTCTTTTACACTGCAAGCTTTCCTTACATATCTGGCCATCCCTGGCTGTCTGTTCACTCTTAAGAAGAGTAAGTTAAAGGACCAGACAGGTGCTTGCAGAACCCTATGTATGTGTGTAGGCCTGACTGGCAGATGTTGCCTCAGATCAGGGTTCCTCCATCTCAACACTATTGACATTTTGGGGTTGGATAATTCTTTGTTGTGGGGGGCTGTCTTGTGCATTGAGGATGTTTAGTACCATCTCTGACCTCTACCTATTAGATGCCAGCACTCTTTCCCACCTCTCAGTATGACAAACAAAAATGTCTGCAGGCACTGCTAAATATCCCATGTGGGGTGTGGGTGTGGGCAAATTATCCCCATCGAGAGCCACAACTTTAGGGTGACAGGGCTGTGGACCAAACCAATCCTCAGAGGTCAGGGGTCTTTACTCTGGGTCCAGTTCTCTTTGGTCTACTTGAGCTCTCTGCAGACAGTTTATTCCATTTCTTCAGGGAAGAACCTTGTGTTTTTCTAGTTCTTTGGGCTTTCTACATAGGTCTACAGCCAGGTTAGGAATTTACAGATCTTCAGTTAACCCTTCTCTTGCCTTCTATTATATTTTGGAATCTCCGTGTTGGGAGGCCCTCAGTGGTTCTACTGGTCAGCAAGCTGTTACCTCTGCTGAGAAGCCCTCTAGGAGGAGTCTGGGCTATGGTGTCCCTGGCTGTGTCAGCTAATCTTCTTTCATCTGCTTTCTGTATTTCAGAATCTGTTAAAATCTCATCAGCTAACTTTCACCATATTCTTTTCATATTCTGAGTTTATTCCTTTATTATTATTTTACTAGGGGCTTTACCATATTGAGTAAATCCTCTTCCACTTTAGGTTTTACAGCTAATGGGTTAACAGACAGGAGATGATACAAATCGGAAAGTTGTAGAGATTTTGAAAATCTCTTTGGTCTTGGTCTAGAGCCTGCCTACCTATCTGGTTTCCTTTCTTCCTTGCCTACACTTTTTGACTCCTGGTCTTGTTCCTTACCTTTAGTTTATGTAAAGTCATTCTAAAACACAGTTCTTGATCTACCTTGCTGCAGAACAAGGAGAGAGACAACACCCTATGGACTGTCCTCAGAGGAAAATAACTAAGCCGAGCACTGATTCTTACACTTTGGTATGCAGAGTTCACTAGATAACGGAGATGCCCAGGTCCCAAACCAGCCAAGATCTACCCAATCTGCATATCTAGGGAGGATCAAGCATGCAGGTTGGTGGATGGGGGATGGTGAGTAGTGAATCTCAGGGCTAGAGAGTGGTGGCAGTTATCACAGGAAAGGAGAACAGGTTTTTATTGAAGGAAGAAAGTCATGGGCTTGAGAAGCGGGGACTGAGGTTCAGACACAAAAGGCAGAAGGCGCTACATCTGAATTATCAGGCCAAGTTGCTCAATGCTTCTACGTTACTGGAGGTTCATGGGAAAGGTCTGTGGACTTAAAGTCTAGTTTTGCCCACAGAAAAATATCCAGAGAAATAAAACATTTTATGATCTCAAAGATACAGCAAACATAAATTAAGGAGAAAGTACTTAAATCCCTCTTCCTGGTCTTTCCCTTACTCTACCCTATACAATAGTCATTTTTATGCTTTTGTAAACTCAATAAGGGCAAGAACTTGGTCTTACTACTACCTTTGTATATGTGCCCCGTGGCATTTCTTAAAAAAAAAAAAAGTATATATAATATATATTTTATTAAGTAAATTCTATGCCCAATGTGGAGCTCAAACTCCTGACCCCGAGATCAAGAGTTGCATGCTCCACCGACTGAGCCAGTCAGGTGCCCCTGCCCCGCGGCATTTAAGACAGCACCTTACATTCTGTAAGCATCTGGTAAGTGCTTTTTTTATTTTAAAAAATAACTTTAATTTTGAGCAAATCACAAACTCAACAATTTCTCATTACTGAGTCTGTCTTCTGGTCCTTGGAGGTATGTCACCATGCTAGAGTCTTGATTTTTTTTTTTCCTTAAAGATTCTTGATTTCAAGGTTCAAATTTACCATAAACAGCACTAGCTGATTCCCTAGACAAAGCAGTACAGAATTTGAGGAACTGGATTACTTTAAAACGCTGAACACGCATGCTCACCTGCTAGCCTTGAACCCTTTCAATTTCTGTACAAAGAAGGACTCAAGAACTTCTGCACACTGGTAAAAAGGCGAGTCACTCGGATTGTAGTAACGACAGTTATCAAAAATTTTGGTCATATCTGCCACAAATTCTGTCAGCTTTTCATAATATCGTCTTTGTACTCTTTCTTCCATGGTGGCAAGATCTTAAAAACACAAAATGTAAAACATTTTCAAAGCTTTAAGGCAGATCCAATGTGAATATTGCCCACAGTTCTGACTCACAAGAATATATATTTCCTGCCCAAACAGTCCTGGAAACTAGTAATTCATGAAGAAAATAGGAGCACTTCTCCAAGTTTGTTTTTGACTGGGGGAGGCTAAAATACAAATCTTGGCTACTGTTACGAAGGTACTTTTACTTTCAGTTAACTACAGAGAAGAGCCCTTTATTCAGCTGGGTTGAAATAAAAGCAGCTTCACCAACACCATCAATACACATCTAAGTACATTTTTACATGCAAACAATTATGTATATATATTACATGTACAAAGAGGGAATCCAAAATTACAAACAAAAAATCTTTGTGGTTTTGTTATATCTGTGATACCTGTATTAGACTTTAATAAACATCATTTTTTCTTTATTCATTTTTATTGTTACCTTATATTGGTGACAAGTGATACTGACGTAACACTTAAGGTGGCAAAGACATAAAGTGTCTACTTAAAGGGAAAAATGTTAGCTGATACGGATAAAAATATTAGTACATTAATAGTACAGGTAGTATGCAGAAATGACTAAAATAATTCAGGTGGTACACAGGTAAGTGCTTTCAAATATACTGAACTAAATCTACCTGAAATAACCTTAGGTCCTAGGAGAAAGTTGTGTTTGAAGGAAAATTCCATATATGATTTTACATAAAAACCTGGGAGAGAAAAAGCTGGTGCTCTCAAGTCCATCTAGGATTGACAAACTCAGATAACACAATTCTAAATGAAATCTCAATGATTATTTTAGAATTTGAGAAAATGATTTCTTAAATTTATTTATTTGAGAGAGAGAGAGGGAGAGAGTGATCAAGTTGGGGGAGGGGCAGGAGGAGAGAGAATCTCAAGCAGACTCCGTGCTGAGCAAGGAGCCCGACGCAAAGCTCAGTCTCACAGCCCTGAGATCATGACCTGAGCTGAAAGCAAGAGTCAGACGCTTAACTAGAGTTAAGTTAACAAGAGTCAGAGCCACCCAAGGGGCCCAAGAATATCTAAGAAACATTTAAAAATAAAATAGGAGAGAACTTAATCTATCAGACATTAAACAAATCTTATAAGGCTGTGATAATGGCAAGTGTGGCGCTGCAGGGATGACAAAGACAGTAATGGAACTGTACTCAACACAGGAACAGACCTAACTGTATTCAGTATAAGGAATTTATATATGTTGAGGATGTCATTTCCAATGAGCAGAAGAAGAACAAATTCATTAATAAATTGGGTTGAGGCAACTGCCTACATATCTGAAGAAAAAATTCTACCTCACACTAATGCCAAAATAATTCTAGGTGGATTAAAATTGAAGGACAATGAAAACTATAAAATGTACTAAAAGATACAACATTGTGAATGTAATTAATCACTGAACTGTGCATATTAAATAGTTGTTACATATATATATTTTAAAGATTTATTTATTTGAGAGAGGGAAAGAGAGAGAGCGCGAGCAGGGGGAAGGGCAGAGGGAGAGGAAGGAGGAGGAAGCAGCAACCCGCTGAGCATGGAGCCTGACACGGGGCTCGTTCTCACAACCCTGAGATCATGACCCAAAATCAAGAACTGGAGGCTTAACCAACTGAGCCACCCAGGCACCCCTGTTATATATATTTTAACACACGCACGCACACATCTTTGATAGTTCCAGTTTATGCAGATAAGGGAAAAAACATCTGCAAACACGCTCCTAGCCCAATGAAATTTCAAGCAAGGCTTGGGCACATCTGCTGTGTGTAGTAGGTCCAGTAAGCTATACTGGGAAGAGTAAAAACTTAACACAGCACATCACTCTTGCATTTAAGTTCCGGGTACTTACTGCCTGGTTAATTTTAATAATGTATGTGAACAGTGCTTGGACATTTTGTGATTCCAACTTAATCAGATATCCGTTAAAAAGAAAATACTAGGGGGGCACCTGAGTGGCACAGTCCGTTAAGTGTATGAATCTTGGTTTTGGCCCAGGTTGTAATCTCGGGGTTGTGGAGTAGAGTCCCGCATCAAGCTCTGTGCTTGGTGTTGAGTCTGCTTGAGATGCTCTCTCCCTCTCCCTGTCCCTCCTGCTTGTGTGCGTGCTCGCTCAGATAAATGAATTAATAAAAAAAAAAAAAGTACTAGGAGAACATATAAGTGAGTATTTATAAATCTGGGGAAGGGCAAAGGACTAAAGTATGACTCCAGAGGCAGAATTTATAATGATGAATAGATTTAAAACCAAAAGCATTAAAAACGATCATATGCTGGGGCACCTGGGTGGCTCAGTAGGTTAAGTGTTCAACTCTTGATTTCAGCTCCGGTCATAATTTCAGGGTTATGGAACTGAGCCCCATGTTGGGCTCTGCACTCAGCACAGAGTCTGCTTGTCCCTCTCCCTCTGCTCCTCCCCCTGCTCGTGCACTCTCTATCAAAAAAAAATCATATGCCAAAAAAAAAATCAGCAGAAAACTTTGTTTTGTTTTGAAGTAGGCTCCACACTGATCTCATGACCCTGAGATCAAGACTTGAGCTGAAATCCGAAGTCCAATGCCCAACCAACTGAGCCACCTAGGTCCTTGGTATATAAAGAGCCCTTAAGAACGGTGACAAAAATACGAATATCCCAAGAGAAAAATGGGCAAAATACATAAATAGGAAACTCACATAAAATGCAAACAATAAGGACACATCACTAGTTAGTGAAGTCATGCAAAGCTAAAGAATCACTTTCTTTACCCAAATTAGCAGAAATTAAAAATAACACATCAACCTATTTTCAATGATCACCCCTCCAAGACAGAGCATGAGTGGCAGTACGTTTTATACTTTACACTCTGCACCTCTGTAACATCTGTACACCAAACGTATTATTTTGAAATAAATATTTTCAAAGAAACTATTTCCCCTCAAAAGTATAATACTCAGTGTTTTCAAGAGTCGAGAGGGAAGGATACGTATATACACTATCATTGGAAACTGGTTCAATTTGCAGAAGTGCAATTTGAAAATATTTATCAAAAGCCTAAAAAGTATATATATCCTTTGATCTAGAAATTCTAATTCTAGGAATTTCTCTGCAGAAAACAAACAAGTGCAGGCAGATGCATAAACAAAGATGTTCACAGAACTGTTTTATAGCAGCAAAAACTGCACACAAGTGAAAAACCCATTAAGTGGGGGTGATTAAATAAATTATCTTAATGGCATACGATTAACAATGATGTAGGTCCATACCACATATTTTCACGTGGTATGAAAAATGTACTGACAAGTTTATAAAGTATGTTATAAAACATGGTCTATTCATATAACCCTATTTCTTATTTCTGTTCAAGAAAATTTATAAAAGCTGCTGATTTTGCTGGCTCCCTCATTCCCTGAAAAGAAACTACTATTTTCAATGTAGTCTATATCTTTGTAGACCTCTTCTCTGCATTTCTAAATATATTTATGTGCCCTCAGAAAATACAGAATTGTTTGCTGCTTAAAACCTAGGTATTTTTCTGTAACTTTGATTCTTCTTTCAACAGTATGTCTTGGAGATCTGTATTATCTTTGTGTACGTATCTACTACATAAGAGGATGTTTACACCTTGGTGGTATATAAAGAAGAAGAAGGAAAAAAAGACCAGAAAACAATCCAGCTTTTTTTTTTTTTTAAAGATTTTATTTATTTATTTGACAGATAGAGACATAGCGAGAGAGGGAACACAAGCAGAGCGAGTGGGAGAGGGAGAAGCAGGCTCCCCGCCAAGCAGGGAGCCCCATGTGGGGCTCGATCCCAGGACCCTGGGATCATGACCTGAGCCGAAGGCAGGCGTTTAACCGACTGAGCCACCCAGGCGCCCCAACAATCCAGCTCTTCAAGAAAAGAATTTTGGTTAAATAAATTAAGGTATATTCAATTCACAGACTACCGAAAGCCCTTAAAGTCACGTTATTGAAGGTTAACACAGGAACAGGTTTGTTAAACAGATGATTATATATATTTTTAAGTTTATTAATTTATTTTAGTAATCTCTACACCCAACGTGGGGCTCAAACTCACAACCCCGAGATCAGGAGTCGCATGTTGGGCGCCTGGGTGGCTCAGTCGTTAAGTGTCTGCCTTCGGCTCAGGTCATGATCCCAGGGTCCTGGGATCGAGCCCCACATCGGGCTCCCTGCTCTGTGGGAAACCTGCTTCTCCCTCTCCCACTCCCCTTGCTTGTGTTCCCTCTCTTGCTGTGTGTCTGTCAAATAAATAAATGAAATCTTAAAGAAAAACAAAAAGTCGCGTGCTCCCCTGACTGAGCTAGCCAGGCGCCCCTCAAACAGATCATCGTATGATATCATTTTTAACACACACACACAAGAACACACCAAAATGGGATTCAGTGAGGAAAAGATAAAGGTGCATTTTATCTTTTCTTACTTCTTTTATTTCCTAGATTTTCTAGAATTGTGTTATGTTTAAAAGCAGAATTATTTATCTAAATAAATATCCCTAGATACCTTCTCAAAAGAGATTATACAAATCAAAAATACATACATGGATTAGCTTCTTCTACTTTCAACATCAGAACAGAGGTAACTGGCTACTTGTTTATTTTTCAGATAGTTTTAACTAAGCCCTCAACTTATTTCCCCTTCACATTTTTCCCCCTTTGAAGTAGTGTCAAACACAAACCCTTCTCATTTTTTAAAATTGAGGTATAACTGACATACAACATTGTATCACTTTTAGGTGTACAACATAATTACCTGATATATGCATATACTACAAAGTGATTACCCAATAAGTTTAATTAACATCTATTACCAACAACATATAGTAAGAAAGTTTTTTTTTTTTGTGATGAGAACTTTTCAGGTAACTCTCTTAGCAACTTTCAAATATACAATAAAATCCTTCCCATTTAAAAAATGCTTAGCTGGCTTTTGAAATACTTCTTTCATCAGCTGGAGCTAATCCTTTCTTTGGCAATTTTGGAAGCTTTTATCTACGTTTTAATTTTTATAATTTCATTTACAGATAAACAAGTTTTAACATAATCACCCGAAACTGTTCATCGTAATACAATCACCTGTGGCTGTTACTTATTACCATTTTTTCTGTTCTGGGAAATGAGGGCATATTCTCTTGGATCTCTACTGTAGGCCCATCAAATTTGCCTTCCTCCAGGAAAAGATGAGGAAAAGGTGGCAGGGAGTGAGGAGAGGCTCAGACAGATCCTGACCCGTGCACTGACTTCCATCTTTTACATAGCTGCAGAATACTCTGCTTACATTATCATTTGATTCAGCTATTCCTTTACTGATGGCCACTGATTTCACTTCTGGTTTTTCTGGACTTATAAACAGTGCTGCGACGAACAACATACTTGTGCACACGTAAATCCTAAGAAATGAAATCGCTGGGTCCAAGAGAATGCAGATTTACATTTTAATACACACTCCCTATTTATCCCACAAGTTACCACAGTAATTTATTCTTCCACCAGCCCTGCTCAACATATCCTCACAATGTATCAGTTTCATGGATGACAAATATCTGCTGAGACATCTGAAAACACCCCATATTCAACTCAAGTACCTACCCATAGGTTCCTTAATAACACCGTAATAATCTGGTGCATCATTAGGATCCACTGGTTCAAGGAAAGGCCAGGCCATCTTATGGGCCTATAATGGGGGCAGAAAACAACATTATTGTCAGGTGGAAATGCTAATTTCATTTAAGTTTCCCAACTGAGTTATTGTATCCATCAACCCTTAAACTCCAAAAGTCAGTTTTAAACCTGAGAGATGCAATTATTTTATACTTAGAGGAGTTTTGCTCTAGTCATAAATCATTTCAGGTGAGCATAATCTGTGCTAAGGGTTCTCGAAGGGTGGTCTGAGGACCTCGGCTTGGGGGGTGGGGGGCGGCACTAGCCTAGAAGTCAGAAACTTGTCCTCTCATCCCTACGTGACAACCTGCTACCTATACAGCTGGACTGGAACAGGTTCAAAGTGTGGGATGGTTCCCACTGCTAACGAGGGGGCAGGGACATGCTATTAAATAACGACACCCATATATTGAGACCACTGTTCTCTTTTTAGGTCTTTTAAAAAGTTTTTATTTTCCTTCAAAGATTTTATTTTTAAGTAACCTCTACACCCAATGCGGGCTCAGACTCACAACCGCACGATCAAGAGTCGCATGCTCTTCTGACTGAGCCAGCCGGGCACCCCCTCACTAGAATTTAATCAAACCGTTTTTCAATCTATAGTGGTGAGGTAAGCTTTTCTTTATAAATGAAATCTAGGTTAAAAAAGTGAGTCATTTAAAGACGGAGTGTTACATAAACAACAACTACGCTCATGTATGGATATGGTTAACCTCATGATCTCGGCATGTGAAAGACTGAAGTCTGGAGGACTTCACTAGACTAGCTGGGAGTCAGGAAATAATCACAGACTCTGAGACTGGAAGGTTCAAACCCTACAAACGTTTTCTCCAAAGTCACGCTGGTTGACTTCCTCTTCAAACGCTGCACACAGAGCGGTTTCTCACCTGTAAAGAACGAAGCACCCTTTTTAAGCCCTCATAATCTTTCTCCGTTAGCGGCGTGAGCACTGTCATGGCATCCTCTGTCGACTGGCACTGTGGACAGACATACTCGTCAATGAGCTCTGCCTCACTTTGCAAGATGCCAACGCAGCGCCCATGGTACCAATTCTGACACCGATCACAGCCAATATAAAATCTGCAAGATCCGAAACGGAAATGTGAGTTCAAAACAGATGGGATCACATTATTTATAATTTACTTTTAAAAATACTAAAACATGCACCTGCAAAGATTCTAACTCTGGGTATAAAATAGTTTTGGTATTACAACTGTTTTAATACTTTCGCAGATCAACATTCAACTGTGTTAATTTAGTGTTTCTGATGTTAAGAACAAGCATTAAAAGTTTATCAAGAACACTTTGTAATATTGGAGAATATTATGCAAAATATTTAATTGACTTTAAAGCTCAAAACAAAATAAACCAAAAATCTTTCAACCAGTACTGTATCAAATGGGAAGCTGGTATTGGCCACCCAACCAGGAGTTCAAAATCCTATAAGCTAATAACAGTCTCAGAACTTATACCCAAATTAGTGTTTTTTTCTAACCTACAATAAAGCACCATTTCAAACACTGATAAAGTCCAAACAAGTCAGGCTATTTTAATCTCATTAATTTCTATGTTACATATTGAAGAATCAAGTCTACCATTAAACCATATTTTTTCCCCAATGCATCTCAAACATTCACTATGAAGCAACATAAATTTTGAAGGGGAGGTAAAGAGGGGAAAAAAGAGGAAAAAAAACTGGAAAGGAATTTGTAATGTAAGTGTATAATATATGCAGAAAAAGATCTTGCTTTTTATTTTAAAATAAATAAGTAACCAGTCAGAGCAATTTGGCTTCCTAAATTATTAAATATGATGCTCTTATCAGAACTCACTGTGACTCATCATAAGGTGTTCTGCAGATACAGTACAATTCCTCACTGCTGCCCTCTTGTGCCCGTTTACAATCATTACAGATGTACACATCCATTTTCTTAGCCTCCTTTTCTGTGATGCCAACACATTCTCCATGATACCAGTTAGTACAAAGATCACAGCCAATATAGAACCTAAAAGTATTCACAATGAAAATGACAATGTAATTGTCATTTTGAGCTGCATGATACTTAAATCTGTCTTCCCTGTCCTGATTCACTTTCTTACAGGATTACTTTCTGCAATGAGTCAGCTAAACATCCTGCATCCGACCGTTCTATCCCTGGCAAACTACAGCATCTGACACTGTATCAAGTGTAGAAACATAAAATCACTCACATCAATTTCAACAAATACACTGTTTAGTGAAATATGGGTCTTTAAAAACATACTGGAATTTGAAAAAATAAACAACACACTGATGGTAATGTCTCCCTCTTAATGAATGTGTGTAAAACTGTAACAGGCACAAAACCAAAGCCAAAGAATCAATGACTTACATCTGTCAAACCTATGCCACAAATTCAGGGCTATTTCTTAGATAGGTTTGAAAATGTATCTCACAGTTTAAATTTGAAAACAAAGCAAAGCGCAAACACCAAGGAGAAGTTACACTACAAGGAACATGCAGGTCAGCCAGGTGTAGAAGATAAATGGTCAAAATATGATATGAAGAAGAAATCTAAGAAAGATACATGGGGTAATTCAATTTCTACTAAGTTTTCTAAATTAACATGGGAATTTAATCCAATTGTAACAGATTATGACATGGGCCAGTTTTTCAATGTAATGTATGTGACAACGTGGAGAGTGACCAGGTTAATTACCTGGTAAGGAACGGCTTCAACTTAAACCAGGGGTATATACAGTATGGAGTGTGATATAATAATAGGTAGCCAAAACCTCAAGAGGTTCCACGGTAACTGGTGAGCTGGGGCTGTATGAGTGTGTAACGGAGGGCAATCACACTCAGTCAACCCTCTAGGCTTTTGTAATGTAAGATCCCAAATGACAGAATGAATGAAAAGCATCTCTACGACAAACACAGAGTGTACCTAAAAGTGCTGACAGGAGCTATATAGGAATGCCATGTAAAAATCATAGCAGGAATTAGCGTGAATCACAAGGGATCCGACTGACCTTGCTGATAGGATTCTACCAAAGTATTTCTTGGCATAGTAACCTGGAGAAATGGAAGTAGTCCTCAAACTAACCTGCCATATGAATGTAAAGGAATAATACATGATTGTGTAGTTCATCCTATTCACGTTAATTTTTTTCTTTTGAATTAAGACTCCTGCATGATTTTCACTGCCACATGTGGGGGCTGGGCCTTCAAGGTGTTTCTGCATGTTGACTTCACCCAGATGGCGGGCTATGTGTTCTGGAAGTAAGCTCAGGACGTGAATTTCAAGTTTTAGTCACTCTCACTAGGTTCCCAAACCAGCCTAGTAGGGTACAAGAGATCACAAAATACTCCTAAAAAACACTTACTCATCCCAACTAGAACAGGGAGTGAATGAACCTGGTACACTGAAGTTTTAATAACAACAAACTGAAAAATATGAAATACCCACAAGATAATGAGGTGATCGCAGAAGAATGAGCACATGTTCATGCGTGCCTCATTTTATGCAACTTAAGTATGACAAAAATGTGTGTGAAATGAATTTCTGTGATCTGAATATTTTAAATAAGCCGAAGAAGCCTAATTATTTAAATAAAGTCCATATGCAGATATTTTTGTAAAGTAAGTAAATCATGTTCTGTTTTGTTCTGTAAATCACCGAGTATTCTTGTGCTTAAAGGGAGGCACGCTTGTATTAGACTAAGGGCAAAATCAGTTAGCAGGGCCCCACTTTCCACATTATCTATCATTTCCAATAAAGACAATGAAAAGGGAAAATTAGCCAAAACTGAGGTGTTTAATTCAACACACAGCTAAATCTAGCAACAGAAAGTGTTGATCTAGCACCTGGTCATAATTTTAAATAGCACCGCCAAAACAGCTTCAATGTTACAACTTAAAAAAACATCACTGAAGAGATCACAATTTTATTTTATAAATTGATTAGGCATCCACTGAAGGTAGATATTAAGCATGGCTAACTCTAAATAATCATATATTTTTGGCACAATCAAACATTCTGGTACTGCAAAAAAACACTGTAGTTAATCTTGGCTTTAAAAAGCTGGCCTATATTTAAATGCTCAAAATGAAAGCTAAATACTTCGTTCAACGATAATGATAAAAAAAAAAATGAAACTGCATTAATGGACTAGTGTTTCTAAAATCTTGTATATATCACCAAATACAAGTCACAACAGTCAAAAACATCTTCCAGCTGCCATGCTTTATTATCACATTTTTGAGTGTCATTCCTGAGGACTGAGTGAAAAGAGCACTCTGGCTTTTGTCCCCAAAAAGAAAAGTGGGAACTTTGACAAAAATAATATTAATTTTCAGTATTCCAATACAAAAAACAGAATTGCTTAAAATTAAACAATAAAACCACTCAAACTTGAAACACTGTCCACCATTCATAGTCAGATAGTGCCTAAGATTTGATGTAATCATAACGTTGGGAACAGATTCCAGAAAGGATGCTCTCGGCTTTCGGTAAGGGCTGCGGTAATAATATACCTCTTTCTCCAGACAGCATTACTGATTGATTTGGATTCAATCCAGAGAGAAGAAGAGAAAGCAAAAGAGCAACAGAAAGCTTGTTTTTGACAGAAAAGGATATGATGAAGAACAAACATGAATCATGAACACGTAAAATACAAAATTTTTACTTCTCTAATGTCGAGTTTAAGAACATCAGCTACTAGACCACAGATGAAACCTCATTACCCTTACTTTCAACTACTTTCATTGACATTGCTACCAATACACTCATTTTCTTCACAACTGGAAATTTAACAGCTAAACTTTTAAGAAAATAAACTAGAGCCCAAAAAGATCTACTCACTTAGATTCATCGTAAGGCGTTTTACAGATACAGTAAAGCTTTGTGTCCTTCTTAGTTTCCTTTGAGGTAGTAGAGATCATTTTCTTCTTCTTGGACTTGGAGCTTGAGTCTCTTTCTTCTTCTCGCTTCCTCTTCTGGGAAGCCGCAGGCAGCGTGGCCGTGGCCGTGGCCGTGGCCGTGGCCAGGGGGCCTGTGTGCTGCGGGGGAGGCGGAGGCGGGGGTGACGGCGGCGGGGCTGGAGGCGCAGGCGGGGCTGGAGGCGAGGTGGCCGCCACTGTGGTGGCCTGCACCATGTCTTTTTCTTTCTTAATTTTCAAGTCTCTCTTGAGCTCTTCCTGTTGTCAATTAAAGACAATACAAGACTGTCATTCCACTTAACGTAAATGCATGACTTGGCCAGAGGACTTTACATGACCTTCCTTCTTACCTTACCTCCCTTGTCGGAGCAGCTCCACAGCTCAGCCCCGTGTGAGGGAGGGGAGTAACTGGAGTGTCCTAACTATTTTAAACCCAACCAAATCAACGAGCAAGATAAAGTGAAGATTATATAGCAGCCAGAAAGCTGCTAGCTATCCTCAAAGAAGATCTGACAGAAAGATGACCAAGTTTCTGAAAACAATGTCCCCTCCTGGCTTGCCCATGTTGTATCCTAGTTATCTCAGCTGCTGCTCGGAATGGGGTTTCAAGTGTCCTCACCCACCGCCTGCTTCCTTCTGGCTGCTCTCCGTCTGTGTCCTTACAGTGAGACCCAGCATGCACTGAACATGATACTCAAGATGGGGTCTGACCAGCCAAAAGCTGAATGAGAGACAGACCTGCCTTATTTATTATGCTCCTATGTCCAGAAATTAAGAATGCAGGGAAAGCTATTTTATCAATACACATTTTGACATAAATTAAAATCCTTCCTTCTCTTCATGTGAAATACTTTACAGACACACCTCTGTTACCTAGTACCACAACTTATTCTTTGAAATGATGATTATTTCCCTAGAGGAAAAAAGCCATTGTCATTGGCATCCATGTACAAACGTGGTGTAAATAAATCACTGCTATGACCAAGCCTTTGGTCACACACACAAAAAATTTAAGTAACCTCTACATCCAGTGTGGGAACTTGAACTTGTGAGATCAAGAGTCGCATATTCCAACAACTCAGCCAGTCAGGCACCCCGTAAACATCACAAAAATTCTAACAAATAAACCTGAATGGTCCTGGTTTAATGAGTCTATTTTTTCTATCTAGCATCTAGATAGTCTTGTAAGTGAGAAGGTAAGTTGTACAACAATTCAGCAATCCTTCTCTATTTAAAAAGAAAGTCTAAACTTCTTCCAAGGGAAGAAAGTAAATCTTGGGTGCCATTTTCCTAGTTAATATGATGTGTTTGTAACATAAGGAACAGATTTTAGAAAAATCAAGATGGATATAGTGGGGTGGGGTTCCTGGCTGGCTCAGTTGGTAGAGCATGCGACTCTCGATCTCAGGGTCATGAGTTCGAGCCCCACATTGGACACAGAAGTCACTTAAAACAAAAAAAGATGTTATAGTGGTTACACATGTTGATCCCCCACTTCAAGAACATACCAATGGTAGTAAAATATAAAACAGAGAAGGCGCGCCTGGGTGGCTCAGTCAGTTAAGCGTCTGCCTTTGGCTCAGGTCATGATCCCAGGGTCCTGGGATGGAGCCCGGCATCGGGCTCCATGCTCAGCAAAGAGCCTGCTTCTCCCTCTCCCTCCGCCTGCCTGCCTGCCTGTCTGTCTGCCTACTTGTGATCTCTCTGTCAAATAAATAAATAAAATCTTAAAAAAAAAAAAACAAAAACAGAAAAAGTTGAAAAGCTAGAGCCATGCTTGAATAAGATATAAATGTCTCTATGAAATGGAAACACAAAACTGTACACAGGGCTGACACTGCAGGCCTGCGGGATTCCAGACTCAGAACTAGGAGGTGGTAGCCCACCACAACCAGTTTCTGCAGGGAGAAGGGACCTCAGCATGCTTCGTGGGACTGGGCCATAAGAACAGGCTCCCTGCTTGATGGAAGGGTTGGCTGGTCTATAACTGGGCCTTCAGAGAGGAAACAAAAACAAAACTCCTCTCACTTAAATGACAAATGTTGGGACGCCTGGGTGGCTAAGTTGGTTAAGCGTCTGCCTTCAGCTCAGGTCATGATCCCAGGGTCTTGGGACTGAGTCCCACCGTGGGCTTCCTGCTTAGCGGGGAGCCTGCTTCTCCCTCTGCCTGCCGCTTCCTCTGCTTGTGCTGACAAATAAATAAGATCTTTAAAAAAAAAAGAAGCCAAATGCAAGCCAAATGAAACATGTGATATGAAAAAAAACAACCAACAAAATCAATAACTGAATCTGGGGTGCCTGGGTGGCTCAATCAGTTAAGCGTGTGACTCTTGATTTTGGCTCAGGTCATGTTCTAGCGTTGTGAGATGGAGCCCCACATCGAGCTCCGTGCTAGGGGTGAAACTTGCTTAAGATTCTCTCTCTCTCTCCTTCTCCTCTGCACCCCACTCCCACACCGCTTACACTCTCTCTTAAAAAAAGAAAAAATAACTGAATCTGAATTCATGCCAACTGAAATTAATTTTATAGAACAATTTGACAAAAACTTTTGTAATATTATGTTTGAGGTGTTCAAAGAGCTAAATGAAGGTTTAATTTCTACTAAATAATAAAATTATTTTATCAATAAGAGAAGCAAAGGGGGATGGAGGAGAGAGGAAAAGGTGGAACACAGCACATCTTTCGGTCAGCAGAATCATTCTGTACGATACTGTAATGACAGGATTCTGTATTCTGTATGTAACACGGATATATGACATGATGCATTTGTCAAACTCCTAGAACTGCGTAACACAAAGAGCGAAACAATGTAAACCATGGGCTTTAGTTAATAATAATGTATCAATATTGGCTTATCAGCTGTAAAACATGGCCACACTAATGCAAGATGGTAACAGAGGAATTTGTGGTGTGTGAGTGTGTGTGGGGGGATAGTCTACAAGAACTCTTTATGCATAATTTTTTTGTCGATTTAAAACTGCTCCAAAAAATAGCCTATTAACAAAAAAGAGACAAGCAGAAATCATACAAGAACATAAAGGACCAATCACTTATCTTGAATATAAAAAATAAAATTATAATTAAAGTTGTGGAAGCATTTTTTTGTAGAATAACTTGTTAATGCTATAAAAAATAATGGAATAGTAATACCACATTGTTACCGTGGCTTTGTGAGGGAGTAAAATTGTGGGAGAACTTTCATGATTGGCTTTATGTATTTCTATAACGTTTTAATTTTCTATAAGCATGTATTTTGTAAACTTAAAGAAATCCACTACACTTGCAAAAAAAAATTATTTTAAAAATATGCTAGTATATATACATTTGAATATTGCTCTTCAAAGCAAATTATCTTAGCCATAAATTCTACTAGTTAAAATAATGCTGAACGTCTGGGGCACCTGGGTGGCTCGGTCGTTAAGCGTCTGCCTTCGGCTCAGGTCGTGGTCCCAGGGTCCTGGGATCGAGTCCCGCGCATCGGGCTCCCTGCTCGGCCAGGAGCCTGCTTCTCCCTCTCCCACTCCCTGCTTGTGTTCCTGCTCTTGCTATCTCTCTCTGTCAGATAAATAAATAAAATCTTAAAAAAAATAAAAAAAGTCTTGGGGCACCTGGGTGGCTCAGTCGTTAAGCGCCTGCCTTAGGCTCAGGCTCCGGTCATGGTCCCAGGGTCCTGGGATTGAGCCCCGCATCGGGCTCCCTGCTCGGCCAGGAGCCTGCTTCTCCCTCTCCCACTCCCCCTGCTTGTGTTCCCTCTCTCGCTGTCTCTCTCCCTGTCAAATAAATAAATAAAATCTTAAAAAATAATAATAATAATGCTGAGTCTTCTTTCTTAGAGTATAATAAATTTCCTTCCTTATTAGATTATGTAATATACTGCCAAGAAGACCGCACTGTAAGATGTTTATAGCAGAAGTATTTTTAAATGGCCACACAGTATAATGAATGCAGAAAAATGTTCAGTATGTTTGTCTCCAGTGCGATTCCATTTCTGTATAAATTATGTTTATACATGGATACATCTATTAAAAATAATATACACAAGATATATTCTAAAATTTTTAAAAAATGGTAATCTTGGAGGCACACTGACTTACAGATTATTTTTATTTGTTGGCCAAGGTAATTACTTTAGAAAGACATCTGAATGTACATGTCCAATTTACTTATTTACATGTAAAGAATCCAAACCATTAAATATCTCCCCACTCTGTGCAGAATATGCGGTGGGAATGGCAAATGACACACGTTAGATGTTAAATACCTGCTGAGTGAACTGAATGGCTAAGTCACATTAGATTTACTATTCTGCAACCTGAATTTTTCATTCAAGCATTTATCATTGAGAATTTCCCCAAAGAATTAAAAACAAAAAGGACCAATCCTACCCACACCATTTTGTTAAAATGGTAGTCCACTGAGTGGACACTCTCACATGTATTTTATCCAGTGGTTCTCAGCTCAGGGTGGTGCTGGTACCTTGAGTATGTGAGAATGTAGGTGGAGGGGACAAGGTCATTTTTTGGGTTGAAGGTGATGATACTCGCACTGAGTACTCAATGCTATGCTTCCTACACTGTGTAAAAATCTGGCCTGTGGAAAGGGCCCAAAGTGTTTCTTTTGAGAACTACTGATTACCAATCTCTTCTCTGTGGATTTCAGGTTGATTCCAAATTTTTGTTATGATTATTAACATTCATTATGTCCTTGCTCATATATCTTGCCTGTTTCTTACATGAGTTTCTAGAACTGAAATTATGGAATATCAGAATATCCACATTTTAGAGTCTTTTGATATATAGTGTAATGTTCTCTAGAAATACATGATATTTTCTCTAGAAAAACAGTATTTTCATTTCACTCCTTAGTATTTAGGTTGACTATCCTTTTTTAAAGATTTTATTTATTTGACAGAAAGAGAGCACAAGCAGGGGGAGAGAGAGAAGCAGGCCTCCCGCTGAGCGGGGAACCCAACATGGGGCTCGATCCTCTGGTATCACGATCTAAGCTGAAGGCAGACACTTAAGCAACTGAGCCACCCATGTGTCCCTAGGTTGACTATCTTTTTATATGTTTACTGGTATTTGGCATTTTTAAATTTGAAAATTGCTTATTTGTATGTCTTACACATTCTTGTACTAGAGTGTTCTTTTTTCTTTTTTTAATTTCAGCTTTATTGAGGTATCACTGACAAAACTGCAAAATATTTAAAGTATACATTGTAGTAACTTGATACATGTATATATTGTGATAAGATTTCCCTTATCTAGTTAACCAATACTCATCTTTTTCTTACTGACCTAAGAGCTCTTTAAATTATAGGACTACTAATTCTGTCATCAATGTCACAAAATTTTTCTCCTGTTTGTTACCCATTTTTCAATATTGTTTATGGTATTTTCTTTTTTCCTATATAAAATTTTTTCTTCTGTCAGCAAATCTTTTTCCTTTATGGCATCTGAAATTTGTAATGCGCAGGGGTGGTTTTCCACACCCCGAGATTACAAAAATGACAATTTTGTTTTCTTCTATTATTTTTGTGGTTTCCTTTTTCACATTAGAATTTTTGATCTGAAATGGATCTTAAGATACGGTGAGAGGGAATATCTACTACTGTGAATTGGCTCTTTTGTTTATGACACTTTCGCAATGCTTGTAGTCTCAAGATGTATCTAGTGTGTGACCACCTCACTGAAATCTTTCATAAATAAAATTTTTCTTTTTGGGTTTTGATATAATAATCGTATCATATACAATAAGAATTTTATCCCCCTTGTTTTCTTTTTTTGTTTGTTTTTAAAGATTTTATTTATTTGACAGAGAGAGAGAGAGATAGTGAGAGAGGGAACACAAGCAGGGGGAGCGGGAGAGGGAGAAGCAGGCCTCCCGCGGAGCAGGGAGCCCGATGCGGGGCTCGATCCCAGAACCCTGGGATCGCGACCTGAGCCGAAGGCAGACGCTTAACGACTGAGCCACCCAGGCACCCCTTGTTTTCTTTTCTTGACTTAACACACTAACTAGAAATTTTCAGAGGTGATAAATAATAATGCTGGGTTTTGGCACTGTCATCTGGCTTCTGACTTTAGTGGGAAGATCTCTCATGTCTCAGAGTTGTGTAATGTTGGTTGTTGGGCTGATTGATTTTTAAAAATACTTCTCATCTTCTTAAAATATACAAGGTACTTCTAGGGATGCTTTCAGTAGCCTACTTCTCTTTTAAGAAGCTGTTCAAATATGTGTGAATAGATGTCTTCTTTCATTTTTCAATAAATTCCCCAAGCAAGCAGAGGATTAGCAATGCCTACAGGATCAGTTACAAGTCAAGGAGGAAGGTGTCTTATTTAATGGGCAACTCTTTATTTTCCATTTTTCCAACACTGTTTTGCAGTTCTTGGTCTGCCTTTCTCATGAAACTTGGCTCCTGGTAACTACTGGAGAGATTATGTCATAGAGCATAAAGGCTATCCTCAAGAGGGTTCTCAAAATGTTTTCCTTTAAAAAGACTGACCTCTAAGAGTGGCTACGTTAGAGATTACAATACACCTTCAGATATAAAACCTCTGTCCTTTTTCAAAAGACACGTGTCCCACCATTTTTAGTCTCTGTACAAAAATGTAAGCTCTAGAAACAAGCTGACATTTAAAACTTAACCAAAGTTGCACAGGGAAAAAAAAAAAAAGAATAAAGTTAAATGCTAAACGTTGGACACAGAAGGAAATACCTTCTTACCTGCACTTCAATCTGTAGGTCTTTGTCCAGGAGCGCTCTCTTTTTTAGTATTTCAGCTTTGAGTTGTTCTTTGTGTTTGAAGAGCAGCGCGGAGAGCTTGGTGGCATTCTGCTTGCTACGTTTCTGTTCCACGCTCTCTTCACGCTTCCGTTTTTTTGCTGCCTGTTTTTCTTCTTTATCTATCTTATCCAAAATATACTTCATCACCTGGTTACAGACAATCATTCTAGAGAGAAATACACAATCCATGTAATGCTGGGCATTTCATTCTGAAAGGCTTAAGAAATAATTTTTCTATGTCTCTATGGTTGATACACAAACTTTCTGTGACTGGAAAGCTTCTAAGAGTGATTCAAACCAGTTATGAGCAGCTAGTAGTGCCAAGTGTTCTCATTTAATGAACTTCAGCCAAGATTTAAGAAAACAAAAAAACAAAAAACCGTAAACTCAGACCTCCTGTGCGTGTGCACGCTAAAGAAGAAAGACTGGTATACAACGAGTCCTTGTGTTCCTAGGTTATAAACATTTCTCCCTACCTTTGATTCTCTTCTCTTTCAGCTGGAGTCATGGTCTTTTTCTGCTTTAAATGTTCTATTACAGCATTATGCTTCATCACCACCTTCAGGACAGAACAAAATCCCAAAGTGCATATTTTATATAATGACTGCAAGTTGGTATACAGATAACAACAGCAGAAATCTGAGCACATGTATGTTTTCCAAAGAAACTGTAAGAATTTTATATCCTAATACAAAAGAAATTAGAGCTACAACAATATGGCCTGGGTGCTTACCGTGTACTGGGCACTGTGCTAAGTAAGCACGTGACATTACCTCAATTATTCCTCCTAACAACACTGAAAGGGATAATTTTATAAAAGATTCTGAGACATGAAAAACTTAACTCACTTGTTTGAGATTAAATAAGTACTATAAGCTGTAATTTTTACCCAGCTATCATTCTCCAACAGCCGTTATTTTTTTTAACATTACGCTCGCTTTCTTGGCATCAATTTCAAATATTTTCCCTCCTCCCCGTCCCAATTTGCACAGAGATTAGGATAAAGAAAGACATTGTAATAATTCTCAAATTGCACACTACACAGTACTAAAAGCTGGGTAATGATGCAGTTGAACATATACATGACATCAATTTATAAGAATATTACCATACACTTTTAAAATCCCTTTGCTGTTTAAAAAGTGCTTCTAATCACGTTGTAGTAGAATCATCAAACGTGCTAAGAGACCAGATCTTAATTATTCCCACCACTAAAAAAAATGATGCTCATATGATGTAACCGAGGTGCTGACTATTGCTACAATGGCAATCATGTTCCAAGTACCAGTGTATCAAATCAACATATTGTACACCTTAAATTTAAACAATGCTATATGTCAAGCATATCCCAATAAAAAATAGAAAGTGCTTCTACATACATGACCTCATTCAATCATTACAATAATCTTGTATGGCTGGAAAGAGAGGGAGTATTAATGAGGATACAGAGCTCAGGGGAGAGGTGAGTTTCACAGACGGAATAGAAGACCCCGGAACTGAACACAGGTCTTATGACTTGGGAACACTTGAAATCCACGCTCAAACTCCTGACTAATGCTGTTGATGCAAAGACAGTTTTCTCCAGTGATGCTACAGGATCTTATACATGTGACTTCATTTTAAGTAGAATAATTCTAACTCCTCTGAATGGCCTTACTTCACTAAGACGCTACTGCAGGACGGCACTTTTTATCTCAGCTATGGAACAGAAGAATGTCAACCTTTTACAAAGGTGTGGTTAGAAATGCAAGTGAGTTTCCACTGTCTAAAATTTGCTTGGTCTACATGCAAACTAAGGAATGACAATTGCAAAGAACTTCAAACAAAGGACTATGACACCTGATGTGGCTTTGAGCTTAGTCAGACTTCAAGGTTTGTATTCATAGTACTGAAACTCCTAACTCCATTCTTCCCATCTTAGTTCTCCCCGAATACAGGTAGTTCTTCTAATAAGCACTGATTGTTTACATCCAACAGAGTTCCAAGCCATGGTAATCATTCGTTATTTCTTGTCAATCCAGTGCTGCTTCTAAATTGAACCATCAATGACTTTTGTCTCATGTCGGAAACCTAACACAACCAAAACTAGGTCTACTGCACAGCACAATCATTCAAGCTACTGAACATGCTGCTTTTACTTAATAACTTTACCTGTTTCTGAATGATTTCACTTTGATTAGAAGCTTGGAGAGTGTGTTCCCGCTTAATTTCTATCTGTTGCTGCTTCTTCTTTTGCTGCTGATCCCTGAGTTGCTGAACCCTTTGCAACTGCTCTTGCACACTGGCTGCCTGCACTGTAACCACATTCTGAATCTGGTGAGTCTGCACAGGACTGCTTTGCTGAATTTGAATGGGTAACTGGAGTTTGATTTGCTGGGGCACACCACCTTGCTGAGCCTGTATCTGAGCCACAACCTGCGACTGGATCTGAGACAGAACCTGGACTTGTTGCAGCTGAGGCACAGCAATGACTTGGGGCTGTGGCTGCTGTATCTGTAGCTGAGGACGGGATGGGGATGACACAGTAACTTGACTTAACGTCTGTCCTGATGAAAGAGTTTGAGTTGGAGACTGTACCTGGGGTTGTGATTGTGGCTGGCCCTGGGAAGGTATCTGAAGAGATGTATGTGGTTGAATTGGAATCGGTTGTGAGGTTGTAGTCTGACCCTGGGATTGCTGTCCAGGAGACACTTGGGATGGAGTCGATGGACGTATTCGAGTCTGTGGTGGACTTTGGACGCGAGCAGGAGACTGTCCTTGGACATTACTTTGAGGCTGACACTGTACTGCGACTTGGGGTTTGGATGACTGTGCTTGGGTGGGTTGTGCTTCAGAAGGGACATGGGATGCGACAGTTGTTTGGGTCTGAACTTCAGGCTGAGTCTGAACTTCAGGCTGAGCTGGGGACGGGGGCTGGGTTTGGGGCTGGGGCTGAGCTGAAGGCTGAGCAGTCTGTGGCTGGGCTTCTGGAGGACTCACACTCGATGACTGAGCTGGTGGCAAGGTTTTGGCTTGTTGCACCTGTGTCGGGGGTGATAATTTACTCTGTCTTTGTTCACTTGTACCTGTGAAAAAGAAAGACCAAATATTTCTGTTACTCTAGAACACAGGACCTTGGTAAAAGAAAAATTTGAAGGGGATTTTCTAAAGGTGAGAATTCCTTATTTTAGTATAGAAGATTGATGCCTTAGGGGCGCCTGGGTGGCTCAGTCGTTAAGCGTCTGCCTTCGGCTCAGGTCATGACCTCAGGGTCCTGGGATTGAGCCCCACATCAGGGTCCCTGCTAGGCGGGGAGCCTACTTCTCCCTCTCCCACTCCCCCCCTCCTTGTGTTCCCTCTCTTGCTGTGTCTCTGTCAAATAAATAAATAAAATCTTAAAAAAAAAAGACTAATGTCTGAGAAACGTTCCACAGACACACTTGAGGTAGGACTCTCCTAACTGGGGAGCCGGGTCCTGCTTCAAGGCTGCCCTCTGCACACGCTAACGCTCCGGAGCACTGGCTTTTATAAAGCAAGGTGCAGCCTCTGGAAATCAGCCAGGACCTCTGGCATAAGGCTAATGCTAAAACCTCATTTTTCTCCTATGGCATGGTGAGAGCAGCTTTCAGGAGGAGGCTAACAAAGTGGTTCTGGACCTGCAGCTCTCAGATGTAGGCTATGAGCTAGACAGATCCACCTTCCCTGAGATAATCTGCATGACTCAATCAGTGCCTACAAAGCTGGGCAAGAAGCAAGTGTGAGCACAGTTACCATGATAGCCACTATTTTTTGCTCCCCACCCCAATTTTCTATATTTCTTTATGGGGGGATGGAGGTGACAGGGAGCCTCTAGGAACAAAAGATGCTGTGAGGCTGACCAGTCATCTCGTAAGCTCACTGGCTTGAGGCATATCCTCCCAAAGGTAAGCAGTGGGCCTCCCATCCCTCTATTAGCCCAGCCACTTGAGGAATAACGCGCAGCATTTCCGGCAACCCCGAGTTCTACCTGCCGCTGTAGTGGAAACAGTGCTGGTGGTGGTGCTGGCTGCCGTGGCCGTCGTTGCCAAAGGCGTAAAGAGGAACCGCTGAACAGTCCCGTTTGGCATGGCAGCTTGCATCAGCTGCTGGCCTGGACCCGGAAGTATGGTCACCCCTTGAGGTATCAACTGCAACTGTCCAGTCGTTTGACCTTGTCCTTGAATTACTACTGTCAAACCTTGATTGCCACCCTGTGGAAAAGAACAGACAACATGTAAACAGTGTTCAAGGCATCAATCTGTAAGTATATCACTTTTATGTTAGAAAGATCCTTTAATGTAATGAAAACATATACTTGAATGTCTACAGAACAGCACCAGAAGGAATTCAGATAAGCTAAAATAAGAATATTTATTTGGGAAGACTGCTGTTGTACAGTGGAAAAAACATGAACTAAAAACGCAGAGTTCCAGTCCAAGCTCTCCAAATGGACAGCCAGGTATCTGTCTACAAGTGACATTACTCCTCCAGATCTAAATTTCCCCAATCTATAAAGTAAGGGCGTTGAGGTGAATGACTAACGTCTCCACAAAATTCTGATTTTAAACCATATGAATATTATATTCATATTATTTTATAATTTTCAAACCATCTTTCTATATACTGTCTTGTTTGATCTTCACAATGGACTTGTGATTTCGTGGAGTAGTGAGAGAAAATATTACTATGATCTTATCACTAATTAGAAATTCAAGGTTAGAAAGTTTAAGTCACTTGTCCAAAGTAGGAGACCAAGTTAAAGGTAGGATAAAATGAGGAGCCCAGATCTCCTGGTTTCAGTTTTTCAACATGTACCAGATTACCCATGGTGTGTGTCTCTGTGTGCACTCTAGTATAAAAAGCTTAGGGTTTAGACAGGGAATGCAAACACCAAGTCAGGAGGGTTGCTAATGCCCACATGGTTCTCAAAATGGGGACCAGGAAGTAAAAACTCTGTATGTACTACCTCTTCTGTCCAGGACTTACTAATCCAGTGACCTCAACTACCAGGGACATGGCAGAGAGTTAGAAAGCAAAGTAAAAACAACCCACCCCAAATTCCCAACAGCCAAAACGGACACCACAAAGTTCATGTACTGAACTCCATATACTTCACTCATGAGTCCCTTATTTACTCTTGCATTTCAAAAATACGTAAGACATCAAGTGTAGTTTGAAAACTAATTATAAAGTAAACCTCTGTAAAATCAGCATTCAGGTCACCATCACCAGCGTCCAAGAAGCCCCCACTGTGATCTGCTCTGATCTCCATTCCCCTGGAGGTAACCACCGTTCTCAGTGCTACCGCAGCATTGCACTTCTTCATAGTGCTACTGCGTAGGTATGGATCTTCTCTTTTTTTTTAAGATTTATTTATTTATCTTTAGAGAGAGTGGGGTAGGGGGAGAGAATCTGGAGCAGACTCCCTGCTGAGTGGAGAGCCCAACACGGAGCTCAATCTCACAATCCCGAGATCACAACCTGAGTCAAAATCAAGAGTCGGACACTAAACCCACTGAGCCACCCAGACACCAGTTGTAGATCTTTACAGGGCTCCGGGTTCACAACTTCAAGAGCACCAACCATGAAGAACACGATGGGAATGACACCCCTCCAGGTAGGCAATGCAATAGCCCTGTATCCCTGTACAATAGAGCTAGTTTTGCTTGTTTCTGAATTTTATGTGAATGGAATCGTGTTTGTTACTTGCTCTTTTAGCTCAACAATGTGGTTTTGTGTGGCTGCGGTTTTTCATTTTCATTGCTGTAGGAATGTACCACAATTTACCTGATAGTAGATAAGACATCTGGGTTGTTCCCACGTTTTTACTCTTGTGAACCATGCTGCTATGAATACTCATGCTCATTACCCTGGTGCTCACATGAACAAGCACTTCGTTAGGGACTACACCTAGAAAAACTCCTGGACGTATGCACATACCCTCGACTTTGCTAGATAATGTCTAGGAGCTTTCCAAACGACTCAACCAATTTATACTACCAGCAGTCATGCATGAAAGTTCATCTTGTTTCGTGTCTTTGCCAATTCTTGATCCTGACATTTTAACTTATACCATGTTCTTATGGACATAGCTTTAATATTCATTTCCCTCATTACTAACAGAGCTCAGTACTTTTTTTTGATTTTGGAATTTAGATTTCCTCTTTTAAGTTTGTTTGCCTTTTTTTTTTTAACTGAGCTTTGCCATTTTGCCTTCTTGATTTTTAGTTATTCCTTATGTATTTTGGATAATAGTCCTTGCTTGACTGTATTTATATCTTCTCTCATTCTTTTCACTTTTATAATGTTTGCTGAACTGAAGTTCTTATTTTTGATGTAGCTGAATTTACAAATCTTTTCCTTTACTTTTAGTGTTTTTTTTGTTTGTTTTTTTAAGTAAGAAAGCCTTTCTTTTCCTACCTTAAGTTATGAAGGTTTTCTTCTATCATGCTTTCTGAAAGTATTATAGCTTTACACTTTCACAGGTAGGACTTTTATCCTCCTGGAATTGAGTTTATGAGTGAGGTAGTGGCCTACTTTCATAGCTTCCCATATCATGTCCCAACACCATTTACTGAACAGTCTGTCCTTTTCTCAGTGACCTGCAATGATACTTCTATGGTAGAACAAGTGTCCACGTATGCATGGTCACTTTCTGCATTCTCTGCTGTGCTACTGGTCTCTCCGTCCTTGTTGTCTGTACCCTTCCATATTAATGGGTGAGGCATCGTAAGAAGTTTTGGTATCAGGTTATCACAGAGGGCAAAGCCTCTTCTTTATAGGAACCACATTCAATCTATTGATTACTACTAGAAAAACTGGTAACAATAATGAATCTTGCAAGAAAGCAACTTATGTACTCAAATTTTATTTTTCCCATGGAAATTGGTCAACTAGTAATGTTTTGGTAGTTAAAAAGATTATCCATCTGGCTGTTTTAGTTTAGTTCACAGTCTAAGGTCTAAGCACTCTAGATAACTGAAATTTATTGTATCTTGCCTTTAAGAAATATTTTTGTTCGACTCTAGGAAGCAGCCATTTCTTTAAAAAGTGCGTTATAAAGTTCTCAGAGTAAGTACATGGCTTTGTTTTGTTTTTTAAATATATTTGGGGGGGCAGGGGGAGGGGCAGAGGGAGGAGAGAAAGAATCTCAAGGAAACTCCCCACTGAGCGTGGAGCCTGACCCAGGAATCAATCTCACGACCCTGAGATCATGACCTGAGCCAAAACCAAGTGCGGGACACTTAACCGACTGAGTCACCCAGGTGCCCTAAGTACATGTTTTTAAACTTACTCCAAGAATAAATAAATGATTACCTCTAAAGTTAAAATGAAGAATGTTAACTAAGTGGAATTAAAAGCTTAAAAAAAAAGTTAAAATGAAGTTGCATTACTTACGTGGCCCTGTGTTAACTGAGTGAGCTGAGCCATGGTAAGCTTCACCTGTCCCTGTTGGGGGCGAGGGGACTGTGAGGTTGAAGACTGCAGATTTGTGCTGGATGCTCCCGAAGTTAATCCTTTCTGCCCAGGGGTCGAGGAAACCGCACTCGGGGCAGAGACTGCGGTGGAGACGGGCTGCCCTCTAATGATCTGAGTCACCACTTGTTGAGGAGTACCTACACACACGGCAGAGCGCTATGAATGCTTATATGCCCTGAAGCAGTATTCTGAGTTGAAACACTGTCCAACACATCAGATGAATGTATGCTTTTCAATTTTCACGAAGACCGATGGGATGCTGTCAGCCCAAGGATGCCCTCAGACATATACCCACACCCAGAGTTCCACCTGGTTGTCGGTGAACCTGTTTTCGCTCGGCTCACTGACAACCATCCCCTAGGTCTTGCCATCTGCAGTAGAGTGAAAACACAATCAAGATTCTTCCCACAAGTCTAAAGCTAAAATGACAATAGGGAAGACTGAAGAAAAAATACATAATAAAGAGCCATTTTATAAGGCTGCCTTTCCTTTGGAATATTTAAAATAAGAAGATAATCTAATGTATAATGAATTCATATGAACTTCATATGAATTTTAAACGTAACAAACAGAATAGGACTATTCTGAACCAATTATGTTTATAAATGAGCTTTTCTTATAGCTTTTCAAACCAGATAGTTTGGGAGAACCATGAGGTCAAGGATCACTTTATCCTCAACATCAGGGCAAAATGCTCGAAGAATACTTCTAGAGTTCATTGTTCAATATCTACTGAGTGAATGAATTTAAATCAGAATGGCTCTACAGTCTTCTAAAAACTTCCACCCTCATTTAACTTGCTGAAACTAGAAGACAAAACAGGTGGAATTTTTCCCTTGTGGAATAATTGCTAAGAGTAATTATTTGGTAGCTAATTTTACATTTACAATGTCCTAATTCGTTATTAATTAGTGAGTACCATCACATTTCTGAAGTTTTATATTCATTTCCTTTTTTTCCATTGCTGAGTACACATATATTTCTTGTACATATACACAGATATTTCTTTTAATGAATGGTGTTTATGTGTAACACTGCAAGCCTTGACATTCAGAATACCTTCCCCTTTTATCTTTTTTTAAATAATGCCACAGTGAAATCCCTGTTTATCAATTTTTATGCACTTCCGGTTATTTCCTTAAAATAAACTCCCCCCAGTATTACTGGGTTTCTAACGGGAACACAGTACTAAACTGAATTTTATTTTATTTTTATTT